ATATATATATATATATATATATATATATATATATATAAGAGAGAGAGAGAGAGAGAGAGAGAGAGAGAGGAAAGTCATTTTACGCTTTTGCGTAGCATCGATCGATCGATTTCGAACGATCCGATCTAGGAGAAGTAGTAGTAAGTAGTTGGATTTTCAAGTAGTTAAGCAAACGATGCTTGGAGAATAATTTTTTTCTTATACGCCATCCACGCACGCGAGATTTCCTGCGTTCCTCGTTCCTTCTTCCCCCTTTCTTTGTCTCTCTTTGCTCGTCTTACCATCCTTTCTCGTAAAGTGCACGCAACCCCCTTCTTCTTCTCCTCGGACGTCGCCTTCTTGTTCGCGTTGGTACGTGTTCCATGGGCCCAGTAGCGATTCGTCCACGGTCGCTCGTGCGGTAAATCAGGCCACGTTGACGTTTAATGCCGGCAAATTACACGCGAAATAAATGCTCGCGAAGAACGAGGTACCGGTGTCTACCCTCCCGACGAAATCGCGTTTCGCAAGAACGAAAGGAGAAATCGAACGAAAAGATATTCGATCGAGGGACGAAGATTCGATCTTTTTCCTCTAACTTTTGCGCTCGATCGTTCCTTCGGATCGTCTGACAGAATTATTATCCCCTTCCCAGGCGATGATTTATCTGAACGAGAACAACGTGATGCACCGTGACATCCGTGGCAGTAATATATTACTGACCAAAGAGGGAGAGATAAAGTTGGTCGATTTCGGCCTGTCGAGAACGTGCCAGGCTGAAATAGGAAAGAGGTACACTTGCGTGGGATCGCCGAGTTGGATGGCACCGGAGGTCGCCATAAGCAAAGGGAATAACTCGGAGGGATACGGAAACAGAGCGGATGTCTGGGCTATCGGAATCACGGCGATCGAGTTGGCCGATGGAAAGCCGCCGTTTCAAGATATGCACCCTACCAGGGCGCTGTTCCAAATAATACGAAATCCTCCCCCGACTTTGAACAGACCGTCCAATTGGTCCCAAAATTTCAACGATTTCATTTCCGAGTAAGTTTCTTGGTGATTCGATCGTGATTTTATTTTATTACTCGAGTATATTCAGATCGACGCGTGTCGATCTCGCTCTTCTTTCAGATGCCTCGAGAAGAATCCTGAAAATAGACCGTTCATGGGGGAAATAATCGAACATCCTTTCTTGGCGGAGTTACCCGATAACGATTTCCTGGTAAATTTGAGCGAAAAAGAAAAGGGCGAGATAAAATAACACAATATGTGACAATAAATAATATTTCCAGCTAACGAAAGAGATCAAGATATTGATGATGGACGCGTGTGAGAAAGGTAAACAGGAAAGAAAATTGGAAATATTAGTTCGAAAGGGTTTCCTGAAGGTAAAAAAAGGTTTTAAAGTGAACGTAAATAACGTGTTGCTCGTTGCTTTACTTACCTTAACTTTGTCACTCGCCGATTCAGACTCACCAGACCGATCCTCTGGAGCCTATGTTCATGGAAGATCTGGCCGCGCTCGAAACGCTCACGGAAGACGCGATCCTGGACGAATTGCACGAAAGATTGCGGCAAGGCTATTACCACAGTTTTATCGGCGATATACTTTTAATTTTGAATCCGAACGAGCAACAGGACATTTATGGATCCGATGTAAGGGTTATTTATATAGAATAAATTTTTTTTTTTGATTAATACGTATTAACGACGAATTTTTAATAACTTTTGGCCGGTTTATTCTTTGACACGAAATTACCAGCTAATAAATTTAACTCTCTCTCTTTCTCTCTCTCTTTCGTTGATTGCAGTTTCACACAAAATATCAATTCAAATCGCGGTCGGATAACGCGCCTCATATATATTCCGTAGCGGATAGCGCTTATCAAGATGTGATGCACAACAACGAGGCTCAACATATTCTACTGGCAGGCGAGAGTAATTCGGGAAAGACGACTAATATGATGCATCTGATTCGACATCTGATGTATTTAGGGAAAGTAAGTGATCGTCGATTATCGATTAGCATTATCGATTAGCGTAAAGGAACGATATCAACGAGTATTGTTCTAAAAGTTTTCAAGTTTACTTTTTCAAGCAATTCGATTCTTTTAATTCGAGGGAGAAAAAAAATTTTTCGATAGATTTAGTAGAACGTCGTGTGCGTTGAAATTTGATTAAAATATGCTCGTCGAAACAGATCGCGATCTTCGCTATTTCGAGTGAAAAAGGAAATCAATATCACATTTTTGCTCGTTTGATTTCAGAGTTTACAAGATATTGGAGGGAGATTTATAAAAGCGATTAAAATGATTCAAGCTTTCAGCAATGCTGCCACACCTTTAAATCCTAATTCGACCAGATGCCTGCTTCAAGTGCAAACCACGTACGGAACGTCCGGGAAAGCCTCCGGCGGCATATTTTGGTTGTATCAGTTGGAAAAATGGCGAGTTTCTACGCGCGACAGGTTAAGATCGGCCTCTGTTATTCAATCGGAACTAGTGCGATAATTTAAATCGTATATTCGAGATTTTGCGATTTTATACGATAAAATGATCGTATAAATCGTAGGATTTAATTCGATCGAACACGATGGTAATCATGCTCTCGTATATCTTCTCGACAGAAATCAATCGAATTTTCACGTGTTGTACTACTTTTACGACGGTATGGACGCCGTAAATAAGTTGAAGCATTATCATCTACCACCGGGAAGACGGATGAGGTATCTGAGAATAAGCGAGAAGGGGACTGAAAGAAAGCGATCGTTCAAAGTTCGAAATGATCCACGCGGGAATGTAGCCAAGTTTGAGGAGCTTAAGGAAGATCTGAAGATCTTGGAGATGGAGGAGCATTGCGAAATGATCTGGAAAGTATTGGCAGCCATTTTGATTCTAGGAGAAATTCGTTTCATCGAAGACAATAATGGAGAGGCTGATATGGACAATAACGACGCGGCTAACAAAGGTAAAGAAATTTGATGTTCCGATTCTTCGTCTGTAAACTCTGTAATTATTATTAACTCTCAATCCTCTTATTCCAGTCGCCGAGCTGCTTAATTTAGATGAGAAGAAATTTAGTTGGGCGTTGCTTAATTATTGCATGATCGTGAATGGAAACGCGGTACGTAAGAGGCACACTTACGAAGAAGCGAAAGAGGCGAGGGATGTATTAGCTAATACGATATATCAACGATTGGTCGACTGGATGGTAAACACTATCAACGTGAAATTTACATTGACGCGTTCCCTATTGTAAGTTTCGCGTGTTGCAATTATTAACGAAATTAATGAACAAAATAATGGAATTACCTGAAACAAATGCGGTGTTTTAGCGGTGACAAATATGCGATTAACGTGATGGATCTCTTTGGATTCGAATGTTTTGCGGTGAATCGACTGGAACAGTTGGTGGTGAACACCATGAACGAACAGATGCAGTGTTATTACAATCAAAGGGTGTTCGCTTGGGAAATGGTAAGATCTTTTTTTTTTTTTTACGGTAAAATAATTTTATCGTGAATGAGTATTTTCTTTTTTTTTTTTTTTCCCCTTTCCCCTTCTATCAAAAATGTTGATCCGTAGCAAGAGCAAGAAGAGGAGGCCATACCTATGCAACGTTTACACTTTTACGACAACAAAAATGCGATAGACAATCTAATGGGCAAAGACAGAGGTTTATTCAGCATAATCGATGAAGCGTCGAAAAACATGCTTGATTATACGCACGTGATAAGCAAAATACAAAATCGAGCAGGCAACGTTTACGTAAAAGTGGTGAGTTCCCATGAATTTACCGTCGCTCATTACACAGGGAAATTGGTCTACGACGCTAGCGAGATTGCCGAGAAGAATCGTGACTTTCTCCCTCCCGAAATGATCGAAACTTTGAGGCAATCGGCCATCGGAGCCGTGAAAGAAATGTTCACGAACAAACTGACCAAGTCTGGCAATTTGACCATAATCGATGAACATTCGAAAATTGAGGAAAAGAAGACGAACAAGGGCAAATGGGGCGCGCTTATGCAGGAATCGAAACTAAGGGTGAGATTCGCTTAATAATAATAATAATAATAATAATAATAATAATTTCAGTTTTTGCCATTTCATAAAAAAAAAAAAAATGAAAGAAATGATAGATCGACGATCTTCTGAGGAAATAGGAAAAAAAAAAAAAAGAAATTGAAATTGAAAATGAAAAAAACTTGTGATTTGGCGATTGTTATTTTATGAACAGAGATTTAACACCACATCCCGAGGCCAATTCTCCCAGATACGGAAAATGAGAACGTGCGCGGCTACCTTTAAATCCACCAGCCTTGAAATCCTTAAGAATCTCTCGATAGGAGGCGGAAGTGGTGGTATGCATTTCATCAGATGCATAAGATCGGATCTCGAAGGGACGCCTCGTGGATTTTATCGAGAGGTCGTTAGACAACAGATCAGAGCGTTGGCAGTTCTTGACACTGCCAAAGCCAGGCAATATGGTTATCCGCATAGAATAAGTTTTCCAGAATTTATTCGAAGGTAATTAATTTGTATCTACCCACGAAATATATAGATTTCGATTTTTTTACGAATTAAACTGAACTAAACTGAAAGAAAACCCTTTCACGATTAGATATCAATTCTTGGCGTTCGATTTCGACGAAACCGTAGAAATAAATAAAGACAATTGTCGATTGCTGTTGATCAGGTTAAAATTGGAAGGTTGGATAATTGGAAAAACTAAAGTATTTTTGAAATATTACAACGAGGAATATCTTTCGCGCTTGTACGAGACACAAGTGAAAAAAATAATAAAGGTTCAATGCATGATGAGATCCTTCTTGGCGCGCAAAAACATGGCGTCGAAGATCACGTCCAATATAAAAAAGGAACCTGGTAGGTAAATTGATAGGCAAGAGAAGCGCAATAATTAGATGCGAGCCGATTCATCGTTTTTCCACATCTTTTGTTCTTCTTGTTGTTGTTGTTTTTTTTCTTTTTCTTCTTTTTGTTTTTTGAGAGGCTTCGTTAC